TGCATCACGAACTGTTCTTGCGATCCGGCGCCCAGTGGACATTTCCTTAGATGACATTAGACATGGAGTAAACACGGCAGAGTTTGTGCTACATTCTTACATTACTGCTATGTGCAGGCCAGCCAACCGTTACTAATTTCTAATCACTGGTAACCACAATATGATTTTTGTTTTGGCGCTAATGAGTATTATTTATATGGCAGTGGCTATTCTTACGACCAGTCGTAACAATATATTTAGTGGACTATTCTTCACGACATGCAACGCCATAACGTATATCAAGGAATGATTGGCAAAAATCACAACACAAAACCCTAACCTATAAAACAGACTCGGCTATGCTTAATATACTATTTGGTATCCCAAACACCATGTATGGTGTATAGATAGATCTTCCCATGGTCGTAAGAATAGTCGCATAAATAATTGTTTACGAGACCAAGCCACGGGGTATTTAATGATGAGTATGCATAATACTAACAGTAATAAGTACTGTCATAGAGTAATGATTGGCTAAGTGTCTACTATAATTGTATTAGTGCATCACGTTGATTCAATCGTTGAAATATTCTATTGGATAACGCAGCAAGGCTACTCCATGAAATCCTCGTTATCGAATAAACGCCAGAAAGAGGCTTAAGCAGGCCTAGACTGGTACCCGTTGCGTCACCTTCAGCTCGCGGCAAGTATATCCTTCGCGTACACTGACGAAAGTTATATAAGTCGTAATTTAATGTTATGTATTATAAAGTCTATATATCAATGTTTTAATTGAGTAGGGCATCACCGTGCATGCAACTGTTTGAAATTCTATTGATAACGCAGCAGGTACTATGAATATCCTCGTTATCGAATAAACGCCCGGCAGAAAGAGGCTAAGGCAAGCGCTAAGACTGGATACCCGTTTGTCACCTTTCACTCCGGCAAGTATGCTTTCGCTACACTGACAGAAGTTAGTGTAGCTGTGTGGAACTGTCGAGCCGGGTAGCCAGTCTAAAGCAGAGCGGCGCAATCCGCCCCAGCATATATTTTATTATGGTGGTAATCTAGTTAATGGCTTTATCAGAAGCATGCACTTTTTACAGTTATAAATTATATTATTATAACTATTATAAAATTATTATAAACTATTATAAATATAGTTATTGTAGTTGAAATGACGTCAAGCAAAGGACGGAAATGACGTCAAGCAAAGGACTGCTCGCTGATTGGTCGTTCTGATTCTGAGAGCAGCCACCAACTTTCATAATTTATAGTAAGAGGTTAACGCTCTGGTGAGTAGGCCCTAGCGGCCGTTACGAGCAGGAGCGGTAATCATTAACGTTAAAGCCTCACAATGCGCATCCAAA